GAAAATCTCGCCTGGGTTCTCTCCCTCCCACTCTCTTAAAAAAACACATAATTTATTACCCCATTAACCCCCTTTTTTGTTCAAGGAAAAAAACAATATTTATTACAACAAAAAATTTATTATTTAAACTTTTTGTAACAAAAAAACATGATTTATGTATGTTTAGAAAATTTTTTATAATAATAAAAAAAATAATTTATTATTTAAACAATTTTTTCACAATAGAAAAAAGGATTTATGATTATTTAAACAATTTTTCGCAATAGGAAAAATGATTTATGATTATTTAAACAATTTTTTCACAACAGAAAAAAAAATGATTTATTATTATTTAAACAATTTTTTCACAATAGAAAAAATGATTTATGATTATTTAAACAAATAAAAAATTTGTTTAAACAAATAATCCAGAACCGGCCCTGTATCACTACTAGTTCTATTGCCTATTCCCTGTTTACTTATGCTAGCAACAAAAGTCCCGATTGGGATAAAAAATATAATCAGGTTTTCAACAGTAAATTTAAGGGAAATGCTAATACAAGTCATGGGTTGAAATATGAAGGACCTGCTAGGGACAAGTATAGAAATTCTCTAATAGATCAAAAAGTTATTGAAATAGGATTAATGGTACGACCAGAAGTACCATGGCTAGGTTTCAGCCCAGATGGTATAGTGGTTTGTAGTAATAATGGTAACCCTGAGAGGACTATCGAGATAAAGTGCCCAATTGAAGGTAAACGACTTTCTGCATCAGAATTCATATCTATGGGTGCAAGAAAATGTTTTGATCATAATGGAAACCTTAAGTACAAGCATGACCATTATGGACAAATTCAATTAGGGCTTCTTTTGACAGGGCTGGATAAATGTGATTATATTAATTACTCATCAAGTACTGATGATTACATCTGTGAAACAGTTTATTTTGATGAACTCTTTTCTTTAAAAATGAGTAAAACTTTGTTAGATGTGTACTTTAAAGAAATTTTGCCCAGAAGTTATGCTAAAGAAAACAATAATAAGTAATTGTACTATATGTGCTTTATTTTGGAACTTTAATTCAATGGTAGTACAAGTTATGTGCATTATAAGTTATATGTACTCTAAGGGTTTTGATGACAAATTTATTTTAGTTGAAGTTTCTGTTTTTTTTTAATTTTACATATATTATATTATATTATATTAGCATTGTGGACTATAAATAAAAATAATCATTTTTACATAAACTTATCAATTTTCATTATTGGATTGCTTAAATTAACAATGCCTGAAACAATAATAAGAACATCATCTAAATAATGAACCAGGCCCCATGGCACCTGTGACTTTAGGAAGGCATATTCTCTGACGCGTTGAATAACCCGTTCAACATGGACCCTTGCTCTTGCAATTTCAGCTGTCTTCAAAGCGTCCGCCTTAGACAGTTGTTTCTTCTTACTTAGAAAAGGTGGCCTCACTAGTACTAAATTTCGCTGAAATAAAGATGACAAGATATTATTTCAGTCTTACTCCATTCTATAACAGTATAAAAAGAATTTAGTAATAATGCTTACCTCCATGCACTCGTTATCAATAAGAAACCCCTTATCTACCATAACAGCATCATTGTAGTCGAGCCTATTCAGAATTCCACAATTGTTAGTAATAAATTTATCAGATGCACGGCCTCCATAGGCGAGGGAGACTGTGGTAATTAGTCCAGAGGGAGCTACACAGAATTCAACTTTAGCTGTGTGACCTTTTTTGTAATGAGAGTAACTTAGTATTCTGCACTTAATACATTTTGACTTCTCAATTGGAATCTCAGCACAATCCAGAATAACTCGAGTTGACCTATAATTTTTGAATGCTATTGGTATGTTCTTCCGGATCTCTTCTTGAGTTGGCCAAGGAATAACACTCTCCAATACAGTTGATAGAAGAGGTATGATTTCATTAAAATAATTACTACAAGTGTGCCTGGAAATTCCAAATAACACTGCCAGTGCTGTGAAGCTCATGTTGACTTTCAACTTAACGAAAGTAAGAGTAATTCTCTCTTTCAGGGAAAGTTCTTTCTTGTTGGTAGTCGACACTGTTTCAATTTCAGATACACATTCTGTTATGGTATCTAAAAGTTCAAATGACGACAAACCAGTGTAGGTGTACAATTTTGACATGTCTGTTAGGACTTCAAGCAAAATAAAGTTTTTGTCTCTTGTCTTGAGGTTATGAAGTGCTTCAGGAGGTTCTTGTAGATCGGTTTGCACTCCCACATCTCTGTTCGTTGGTTCTAACATATTCTGCTCATCCTCTCTGGGCTCTTTGTCAACAATAGGATTATTTTCTTTGTCTATCTGTTTGTCAGTTATATTTTCAGTTTCATGTACAAGCAGGTTCCTGAAATTTTAAACTAATTTTTCAGCTTACTGATAGCTTTAAACAAGGTTGCCACAAAGAATGTGATATCTGAAGATGCTATGATGAATAATGGATATACTTGCCTCTTTTTAGCTCTTTCACTTCGTTGTTTTATTCTTTCAGCTTTTTGAGGTGTGTTCTGGGAATGAAACGACCGCAAAGGAATTTTTTGAGACGGGACAGTGTGAAGTTTTAGATGATGACACTCTTTATTTGCTGTAAGGAAGTAGATAGATGTTATCTGTCAAATCTTTGAAGGAGGACTATGGAATTACAAATAAAAACAAAGTATATTATGATACGAATCATTAATGGTAAATCTTTGTCATTATGACAATAACTGTTTATGGTAAGACTTACCACCAGGGAAGAAATCTTCACTTTTAAAATGAGCACCGCAAACGCGCATACTATTAGAAACAGATTTCCCGATTCTCAAAGCCATTACCCATTTCTTCCTCAATGCGACATGCCTTGGAAATTTGTGGAACGTAATATTTTGTCCCAAATAATTATTGCACTGCGGGACACAACAATGTGTAGTGACCACAGACTTATACAGGGTGTCTGATGCAAAAGTAGCAACTTTGAAAATAGTGGTAGATTGGGTTAAACTAAGGAGAAATATCATGTACTGCGGTACAAAGTAACATTAGTTATTGAGTAGTAAATTTACACGTTTGAGCGAATGAGGATGCAGGAGACGGTAGGCCGGACTCGGAAGGCATTTAAGAAAATCGATCGATGAGCGGGAGGTGGAGCGACGCGCGAGATACTATGTTTATGTTTCGGGTCGCCCGTTGCTCGCGCTCGCTGCCGCGCTCGCCGCCCCCGCCGCGCTCCCCGCCGCGCCTAGGTTTTTTCCCACCACGGTGTATCTCGCGCGTCGCTCCACCTCCCGCTCATCGATCGATTTTCTTAAATGCCTCCCGAGTCCGCCCTACCGTCTCCTGCATTCTCATTCGCTCAAACGTGTAAATTAATTCCTCGATAACTAT